GCAAAGCTCGTTGAGGGTCTAAGCTTCCATACCATACAAAAGGACTGGGAATACATAACATTTGAGCATACGAGTTCTCAGATCTAGGCTCAAATCGCGGCTACAGAGCAGCTTCTTCATCTTCACAAAGGATGCACGGGCCTTCTCAATGCGAATCTTTATTTCTGAACAATAATCCGCGGTGCAGTCGACACTTGTACCCAGGTAGTCATACCTCTCTACTCTTCAGAGCTCCTCGCCTTCCGCGTACAGATGTTCATTGGCCAGTCCAGTTTTAGTGACAATCATGTATTTGGTGTTCTTAACATTGAGTGTTAGACCATATTCATAGACTTAATCAATACGTAGTTAAATTATTTGACTTTTTAGCATCTCTTTTTAAATTAAAAATGAAAGTTTCCATGACAAATTGTTGATATTTTGGAGAGAGTTTGAAACACCCTGTGGAATATTGTAAGACAGAAAAAAAATTAAAAATTATTTTGTCATCTAGGTAGGATACATCCCTTCTGGATAGTTTGTTTTTTGGTTCATCTAAATAGCTTTATTTTTGTTGGAGATATTCGCTCTGACAATTTTGTTTGGGACATCTTTAGTTTCACAAAAAAGAAGCTTAAGGTTCGTATATGCATAGTTTTACATTTACTAGCCAGCCATTTTCAACTAAAATGGAAACACTATACATTTTTAGAAAAATAATTACTTTATGTATAATTTATTGTCTAACTGAATTATTAACTACTTATTTATGGTAAAAAAGTATATATAGTAAAAGGGAAAATTAAAAATCCAGTCAATAGCTCATTGAGAAAACTCGCTTTACTCACAACAAATTAAAGAAAAAAGAAAAACATCGTGTCAAGGGGCAGTTAAGTAAACCAATGTGCTAAAATACTTCGCTATAAAATAATACAACTATATTTTCTACTCTTTCCATGTATTTATAACGTACACATGCTGGTACTAATCTAATTATTAGTTACACAAACAGTTCTTTATGGTCTCGGTCGTCTTGTTTTCCCATGTGAATTCATAAATGCTAATTTATTTAATACCTGTTTTGGATGTGGATGATGACAGGTATTGCCAACGAGTGCACTAAATACCATGAATATTACAAATAAATGAATAATTATTCTTGACATATTTAAACCTACTAATTCACTAATCGAAGCAACTCAAAGTTATTTTTTACTGATTATAGTTAAATTCATCATATGCAAAATTGAAATATATATTTTTATTAATTTTCTATTTAGGCCCTGTTATTAGTCCCCAGAAAAGACAATCTAATAAATTACAAAACACTGGAAATAGTAGAAGAATATTTGAGACAACTAATATACGGTTACTCTGGTAAAAGTGTCTTTAATAACAAATAATCTTTAATAATAAATAATAAAAACACCACAAAGACCCTTGTTCGATCTTTGGTGTTCTCCATATTCCTATACGGGTCTGAGTCATGGACCGTCAAGAGAGCTGATAGAAATGCATCTATACGATGCATTTGAGATGTGGTGCTGGAGGAGAATGCTCCGTATACCATGGACAGCTCGAAGAACGAACCAGTCAATTCTCAATGAACTCGGCATCACAGATCTATTATCCACCATCTGCCGTAGACGCATCCTGCAATATTTCGGTCATATCACTCGCAGAGGTGAAGACAACCTTGAAAAAATCATAGTACAAGGCAAAGTAGAAGGCCGAAGACCCAGAGGATGAACACCATCAAGAGGGCTTGTCCAAATAGCAAATATTACAGGTCATCCATTTCAATCAAATCTCCGAGAGGTGGAAGATCGCCAACGATGGATGATCAAAATCACCAGCTGTACATAGCCATAATGTCACGATTCTTCAGACATGAAGAGAATGAAGACATACCTGGTCTCTACTACCAGACATTAACAGAAGAATTAAGTTAGCGTGGAGTATTTATTGAAGTAACTCAATCATATTCTAATCTATAATGCCACTTTATCTAAGGAAGAAAACATTCGCCCAATGTGTACTACCAGTCATGACCTATGCAAGCGAAACCTGGACACTTAAAACGGACATCGTAAAGAAACTGCAGGATTCACAACTCTCAATTGAACGAAGTATGTTGGGAACAACCAAGGAAGACCGTAAACTAATAGAATGGATAAGACAAAAGATCCAGGTAATAGATATCATCCCCCAAGCAGAATTTGGACGTCGGGACAACGTAGTGTCACGCGACCAAACGTCGGGGCGCAACGTCGGCACAACCTCGTGCCAACCCTAGTCTGCACTAGTTTGGAGAATAATTTTTGGGTCGAAACGACGCGACGTTGGATACCGACGTTGGCTAGAAGCCTAATTTAGTACAAACTGCAACGTTGTTTAAAATCCTAATTCAGAGAAATACAAAACTAATATGGCGTCTAAGTCGCGTTTTATCCTAAATTGGGATAATTATAGTAAAAATATTATTTTTAGGATTTAGTTAGAGACATATGTCAGATGGCAGTGAAGGAAACAAGTTACAGCCGTTTAAAGCTAGTCATTATTTAACATAAATTTTTGGACACTCTGTATAAGAAAGTATAATTTTTATTATCGCAACACAATATCTGATAATCTTCAGTAAATATGTAGTATTAAAAACTTTGATACCCTTGGAGAAATGAAGCCTTAAATTTTTTACTGCAATTTCACAAAATTGAAAATATTTCAAAAACGGTAAGTTTTAAGTGTGATAAACCTTAATCAAATTTACCTTTATTTCATTCGTAGAATCTAAAAATTGTATAATATATAGGGTGTTTCATTAAAAAAAATAAAACTATAATAATTTTTACATATTTGGCACACTCTGTATCTTGTCAAAATATTTTTAAATTGTAGCTCTAATAGTCCTTCAACGAACCCAAAACTTACAATTTGTAAAAATCTAATCATTTAGCTACAATGCTCCGTGTCGTATGTGGTGAACAACCCTGTATACATCAGGTCATTAATAGAATAAAAATGAAATAATGAATATTGGTTTTTTTAAAGCCTTGAAATTTTTAAACTTTTAAGATGGTATTTTGATCGACATCAAATTGCACAATTTAACTGACCTAATTTATCGCTTCTGAGTTCTGATGAGGCTCGAATGTACAATGCAATATATTTTAAAACTTTGATCATCTCACACACTGGTTAAAGATCTAGTATTTAATATTTAATATTTTATAACTCTTACATGTTTTTCTCCATTTACAATTTTCCTTTTGTAAAATTTTCTTGATATGCCTGTGTCAGCGGCGTGCGGTCCATGGAAGCGGGGGAAGCGCTTTTTCCAAAGCCAACCAAAGAACACCAAAGCTTCCCTAAACTTTTTAAAGATAGAAAAAATAAATAGTTAAACGTTAATAATACTGTTATTTTATAACAAAAGATAATATAATTTGTTAAAATTATTAATTTGAAACCTTACATAAACGTAGTAAATTTAATTAGCCTTTTACTGCATGGATGCGTGCCTGGAAATCGCCGCCGGTCGCCTATCCCTCCTTCATGTAGGTGTTATTGACCCCGAACGCAAACGACAAATTTAAGCCGGAAAATCGCGCACAGTTGCTAGCCACAGCAGCGATCTTTCGGCCGCCTTCCGCGACTTTTAATTTATCGGGACGGGTTTGCTTACGATTTTATAGGTAATATGGTATTTTTTTCGGATTTAATTTAGTGTTTACTGTTTCGTTTGTAATGGAGGGTTAAGAAGGACAATTTTCTGCTTCTGCTAGTGTGGACAATAATTTAGACTGTGTTTGTGTTCTATGTGTGTTATTAAAAAAAGGATTTTCTAGTCGGGACTTCCAAGAAAAAAGTGACATTATTAGGAAATATTGATAGGAACCATGGTAGGCCCATGGTTCCTATCCATTTAGAGACCAGAGTGGAGAAGTCGATAAAAAAATTCACTAGACATTTTCATGTTGGGTTTTACGACAAATATGAGTGGTTAACCGGCGGTTACCGGTTTTTTACCGATTCGCTTCCCCGCCTATAATTGTCACCGCACGCCGCTGGCCTGTGTTCTATACAATGTCATCCATGTATGTTTTTTAACGTATTTTTTTTTTGAATTGATTTGTATTGTATGATTTTTTATTATTTGTATAATTGTTTTTGTGCTTTTGTTTGTTTTGTAAATGCTTTGTCGATGAAGCTATTTTGGCTTTTTGTACAATAAAGCGTTTTTGTTTACATTTGGCGCTTAAATGGGTATCATTGGGTACAAATTCAGCGTTTAAGTAATTTTAATATATTTTTTTAATGAATAATAATTAAAACCAATATTCAATAAGCGGTCTTTTAATTATATGTAGCTAATCTTAAAGAAACGGCGCGGCTTAAAAGAAAAGAACAAAAAAAATATCTTCATTAAGCACGTATCGCTATACAATGTAAAGGATATAATCAGTTGTTATATACCGTCCGGTTCTAAATGGGTTCTAAGCAGCGGTCTTCCTATTTACCCAAAGATAAGAGCTCTTCTTCAAGCATGCAGTAAAGCTGCGATAAGATCTAATCTTTAGGCAATAAACGTAACGCGGTATTCCCAAGTTTGCCCGGTTCAAGCTTTTCTCACACAGTTAACCGTTTCTAGAAAACAATCCTCTCGCTTAAAAATTAAAATAATATCTTACACAGACGTATCCTCTTCCAAGTAAGGACGGACTATCTGTTCGTGTTTGATAGGATCTCATTGTTGTATAATTTTTGTTATTACCCTTGCGATGGTATAGGTTTCGTGTTTCTTGCCAATTATCTGTTCTCTGATATTTAGAACACAGTCATTCAATGAGTTCTTTAAAACGGTTCAATCTTAATGATATTATCATAGTTTTTTTATAATTCAGTTTAGTATTGATTTAAAAAATTAATAAATAATAATTTATCAAATAACTATAAGAGCACAGGCAACTTATAATACAGCATGGTGTATTTAGGGTTGTATCTAAGGAATATTATGTCAGATTCAGATAAATGTCAAAAACTAATGGCCGCTTTAAAAAACTTGTGACATAACTTTCATGTGCTATTTTTTTACCGAAATAATATAAGAATAAAGGTCGTTTCTTCATTACTGAACCGATTATAAAGCTATTTAAATGGCTTCGATCGTTGTTGCAAGATTTGTAGTCCCAGGTAATTCCAATCGTAATTCTACCGGTGTTTTTATGGTTAAGTTCATGTCTAACAAATGCTTTTAGTTGCCCATAGGACCTTACGACAAATTCTTAGCAAACGCTCTATTGCTAAGATTCATAATTACGCCAGAACTCTACAAATAATCTCACCGGAGCACACTCAAAAACGATCGTATGCGGAAAAACAAGTGTTTGATCGGAGCAAACCACATTGTAATGTTGGAACAATTGGTCACGTAGATCACGGCAAAACTACCTTGACTGCGGCTATAACTAAAGTTCTGTCTGATCAGAAATTAGCTCAGCTAAGGAATTATGCTGATATTGATAATGCTCCAGAAGAAAAGGCGAGAGGTACTTGAGGTTAAAATATAATAGAATTCTGTGTTTTTCTAATTATAACTCTACTTGAAGGTATTACAATTAATGTGGCTCATATTGAGTATCAAACAGAGAAAAGGCATTATGGACACACTGATTGTCCTGGACATGCGGATTACATTAAAAATATGATTACTGGTGCGGCTCAAATGGACGGAACTATTTTGGTAGTGGCCGCTACGGATGGTGTTATGCCACAAACAAGAGAGCACTTAATTCTAGCAAAACAAATTGGTGTAAAGCATATTGTAGTGTTTATTAATAAAGTTGATGCTGCCGACAAAGAAATGGTTGAATTAGTTGAGATGGAAATAAGGTAAGTTGTAATTAATATTTGGATCTTCAATTGGGATTGTTATAATATTGAAAATGTCTTTTAGAGAGTTATTGACTGAAATGGGATTTGAAGGAGACAAAATTGCAGTTATTGCTGGATCAGCTTTATGTGCTTTGGAAGGCAAGAATCCAGAGATTGGTAGTGAAGCTGTTTTAAAATTACTAGATGCTATTGATAATAATATTCCGACACCAATAAGAGAACTAGATAAGCCATTTTTGTTGCCCATTGAACATGTCTATTCAATTCCAGGTACATGATAAATAAGTTGTATTCTATAACTACTAATTTCCTTTACTCTGTTTTAGGTCGTGGTACAGTTGTAACAGGTAGATTAGAAAGAGGAGTATTAAAGAAAGGTGCAGATTGTGAATTTGTTGGCTTCAGTAAAGTGTTGAAAAGTACTGTGACAGGTGTAGAAATGTTCCACAAAATCTTAGAAGAGGCTCAGGCAGGAGACCAACTTGGTGCTCTAGTTAGGAGTGTTAAAAGAGATGATATAAAGAGAGGTTAGACTTATTTTATATGTCCCACCCACTTAGTGTAATTGTCCGTTTCATGAAATGGATGTCCACTTCGCAAACTGAAACCTAACCAGTTTGCCAACCTAACCTAACCTAACCAGTTCGCGAAATGGATTTCCATTTCAAGAAACGGACAATTACACTAAGTGGGTGCGACATACACACTCATATTATGCAAAAAAAAACAACTTAAATTATTTTTGTCAAGTTTAAAGTGTTATATTTTTTTTTTACTTTTTGCCCTATTTTCAGGTTTTTTTTAGCAAACTGTATTTAAATCTATCAACTTTAAATCATAAATTTCGTTTTTAACTTTAGTATTTGGCTTATTATACAGGGTTAATTGAAGGGTTGTTTTTATCCTAACTTTAAAACATCCTGTGCAATAATTTTGTAACTCCTGAGCATTTTGTTTTTTGACTCGTTTCAACATATGCCTTGATTAATTTTTAAGAGCGAAATGAACTTGCCACCAACAATTTGTAATTTTTTCAACAAAATAACATCAATATTTATGATGATATTTTTTAATTTCACAAGGCAGCTTTGGTGACTATTGTCATAATGTCATATCGATACTAATTAGAACTCTACAGGGTGCTACAAATTCGAGGTACGAGCATTGGTATCTCGGTAACTGTAATAGATACGAACATGGTTAAATTGGGGCAAAGTTGCGCTTTAGAATGTTCACCAAGATGCCATCAAAAAAGTTTTGGAAATTTCAAGGATTGCTGAGTTTTTTGAAAAAAAAAACGATTTTTTTACTACCAAACTACACATTCTCATAGCCACTTTATTAGGGCTATCTGATGGTATTTTTAGATTTTCAAATTAGCTTATAATTTGTGAGATACAGAGGCCAACTTAATTTTTTTAAATACGGACCTGTATTTTTTATTTCAGATTTTGAAAGACCTCAGTCTCCTGAGTACAATGATATGCCACACATTTTTATTTTTAGTGTAAAAAAAATTGAATTGTTATTTAAAATAATTTCAAATCCGACTCAAATCTGATTATATTCAGTACAACAATATTGATCAGCGCTAATTAACATTGAATAAAGAAAATCAATAAAAAATATTTGGGATTTCAAATTCACAATAAAAAAAGTTAGAAATAATAGATATTTTCAAATTGCTGACCTGGATATTAATTATTTGAATCTTTCAAGACGTGTGATTTTCCTTATTCAATGATAATTAGCGCTGATCAATATTGTTGTGCTGAATATAATCAGATTAAATAAATTAAAAAACCAGAGTCGGAGTTGAAATTATTTTAAATAACAATTAAATAGTTTTTATTGTTAAGGTATCCAAAACAAAAAAAATCAATCAAGTGTGGCATATCATTGTACTCAGGAGACCGAAGTCTTTCAAAACTTCAAATAAAAAATGCAGGTCCGTATTTATAAAAATTAAGTTAGCCTCTGAATCTCACAAATGATAAGCTAATTTGAAAATCTAAAAATACCATCAGATAGCCCTGATAAAGTGGTTATGAGAATGTGCAATTAGTTTTTTGATTTTCTAAAAAGTTACGACAGGAAAAATAAAATTGATTTTCAAAAAAATCCGTTTTTTCCAAAAAACTCAGCAATCCTTGAAATTTTTAAAACTTTTTTGATGGCATCTTGGTGAACATGCCAAGGAGCAACTTTGCCCCAAGTTAACCATCTTCGTATCTATTACGGTTTCCGAGATACCAATGCTCGTACCTCGAATTTGTAGCACCCTGTATATTAAAATTTAAAAAATGTTAAAAAGTAACAGTACAGGTTTGGTTTTAATAAATATTACTAACACTAACAGAACTAAGGATATTAAAAAAAAAATAACTGTAATAACCAAGTGTACAAACACACAAAAAACTTATAAAAAATACTCTAATACTTCCTCCCCCAAAATAATGTTTTAGGAAAATTGCTCACGAAATTATTGTACAGGGTATTTTAAATATAGAGTATACAACAACTCTTCAATTAACCGTGCAGTGGCGTCGCCAGAGGGAGGCTGGGTGGGCCGTGGCCCACCCTGGATTACTTTGGGCCCACCAGTGGCCCACCCGCGCAATGTCCGGAAAATATACCGTCAACTTTCATCGATTTGTAATAAAATTTTATAATCCAATACCTGTCTACAAAAAAATCTACAAAATAAAATAGTTATTTTTTGTAAACACTTCTGGCGTTAATCCCAAACGGAAACTACTTGTCAGCAGTTAGGTTTACAGATATACAAATTTGCCTAACGAACAAAAAAACGCTTAAAGTTTCGGAAAGTTTATTTCTTCCCGTCGTCGGAAGCAAAAAATACAAAAAATAAAGAAAAAACTATTTAAAATATTTAAATTCAACTATTCGAGAACACTTTAGTTTTTTAAAACAGATACATCTACAAAAATCGTTGACGTTCTGTTAAAATGATATTATATCAAGTTAAACTTCAAAATAAACAATTACTACCTGATAACATTTACTTAATAAGGTAAAACCAAATTTATTTGTATTTTCTCAGTTTATTGTTTACTTTTTATGGTTTGTTGAAGTTTGTAGTCAATCGTAGTTAATCGAATCCTTAAAAAATAGGAGATATTTGTTTTCAAAAAAGTTACAAAGCAGTAGGTTAATCTAAAAAGTTCGAAAAAGACAGTTGTAAATAGAGATCGAAGAAGTTAAAGAAATAAAGAAAATTCAACTTGATTTCCATCTCAAGTCGAATTTTCTAAATACAATGAAATTAAAAAAAATACTACTTTCTGAAAAAATCTAAATCAGCATAAATAACTTTTGATTGTAATTATACCGTCTGATCGAAAAAAAATTGCGCCCACTTGGCTTAGAAATGACGATCGATAATATTCCCGATATAAGTTTACTTATAAAATAATAGCAATCTTCACCTCTACATCACCCCTGACGTCGTTTTTTTATTGTAGGATATTTACACTTTTTTTTTAGCTTTTCATAAAAACTAATCAACAACTATGATATGGTAAATTATCTGGCCCACCCGAATAAAACCTTGTCCCAGTACTGGCCCACCCTGAAAAAAATATCTACGCCACTGTAACCATGATTAACCCTGTATAATAAGTCAAATAGTAAAGTTACAAACTGAGTTTGAACTTTACTATTTGACTTATTATACAGGGTTAATACTTAACCCTGTATATATTATATACTTATTTAGTATTCAGTTTATACATAACTGAAGTTGATATATTTATATACAGTTTTCTAAAAAAGGAATCAAGGAAACACAACATTTTAAACTTGACCAAAAATTTTTCCATCGTGTTTTTTGCATCTGAGTGTATTTTTTAACATTTTTTAATCAATTAATAATTTTTAGGTATGGTTATGGCTAAACCTGGCACAGTGAAAGGTTATGATAACATTGAAACTCAAGTATACGTCTTATCTAAGGATGAAGGTGGTAGAAGCAAACCTTTCACATCGTTCATTCAGTTGCAAATGTTCTGCAGAACGTGGGACTGCGCTGCACAGGTTATCGTTCCAGACAAGGAAATGGTTATGCCAGGAGAAGATTCTAGGTAAATTTAAAAAAAATGTTGTATTTATACACCCTGTATATTGGACAGGCTGAAATAATTCCATATTTAACTGACACAAAATGATAACTAGTTGTTAAACTTGGACTAATGAGACAGCTATGTGGTGAAGTAACGTCAGACCATATCACAATCACCTAGATTTTATCAAATAATAAAGATCTACTCAGATTAAATCATGTAAATGAAAATATCTAGGAAAATCTTTGTTTGGGGGGTAGGCAACCTTAATAGTATTTTGAAGCTACATAAAATAGAAAATGTTAAATAACTCAAAAACCTTACATTTTAGTCATATACTTCTCTTATAAAACTCATCTTTAATTTTCTCCCAGAATCCAAAAATCAATAGGGTGTTCCATTACAAAAAACACAATTTTGATATGTAACTCTCAATTTTTGAGATTTTGTGTAGGCCAATTAATGCCGATTGAAGTTGTATCTTGATACTTTTTACACTTATTTCCCTATTTATTAATCAATTAATAAAATAAAATTAATAAATTTCATCTAATTTATTATTAAATTTTATTAAAATTTATAACAATAATGTTTATTGCTACCTACTTCTTCTTAAAGCGCCTTCTCCATTCAGTGAAGATCGGCAACAACCATGGCAAATTCCTCTCTATTTTTCGCTCTTCTCAGCAAAGTATGTTAGTCCAGGCCTGTCCAATCTCTGATGTTCTTCAGCCAGGAGCATTGCCGTCGTCCGGGTCCGCGCTTTCCCTCAATTTTACCCTCGATGATGAGCTGAAGGAATTCATACTTGTTATGTCTCATGATATGGCCCAAATAGGCTGCTTTCCTCTTTTTTATTATGTCGAGGAGTTCTCGGTCCTTGTTCATTTGGTTTAGAACTCGTTCGTTCGAGACACGGTCAGTCCATGGTAATCTCAGCATTCTGCGATATACCCACATCTCAAATGCTTCCAACTTATTCATTGCGCTTACTTTGAGTGTCCACGACTCAACCCCGTAGAGAAGTGTGGAAAGTACGTAGCACTTGACGAAGTTGTCTTTTATATGGATGTTCAGACGTTTATCGCACAGTAGGTTCCGCAATTTTAGGAAGTTTGATCTAGCCATCTCAATTCGAGCTCTGATCTCAATGTCTGGGTTTAGGTCTTCACTAATCCAACTGCCCAAATATCTAAACTTTAAGACTCTTGCTATTGGTGTCCCACCTACGACTACCTCCGTTGCCTGTCTTGCATCTCTGTTTATCACCATGACTTTTGTTTTGTTTGTATTTATCCTGAGACCCATTGAGTCGCCCACTGAGGACAGTCTATCAAGAAGTCTTTGCAGGCCCTCAGTGGTGTCTGCAATAACGACGGTATCATCAGCATATCTCATATTGTTAATCAGCCTGCCGTTCACTTTTATGCCGTCTTCTGATCCCTCAAGCGCATTTCGAAATATTAGTTCGGAGTACATATTGAAGAGCATAGGGCTCAATACGCATCCTTGCCTAACTCCACGCTTGATAGGTATTGCTGTTGTTTCAGTGTCCTGTAGTTTTACTGTCGCTACTTGTTGTATATACCTTTTGGATAATTTTCAGGACTTGGGTATCCAGGCCTCTTCTTTCAAGGATGCTCAGCAATTCCCTGTGGTTGACGCAGTCGAATGCCTTCGTGTAGTCTATGAAGTGTACCTTCTTTCGTTGATCTCTGCACTTCTGCAAAAGCACCGATAGCGCAAACAGGGCTTCTCTCGTCCCCAGTCCCTCGCGAAATCCCATTTGCTGTTCACTTATGTCTAGCTCACATTTTCTTCGGATTCGATTATGCAGAACCTTTGAAAACAGCTTTAGGACTTGACTCATCAGACTTATTAAACGAAACTCATCACATCTTTTTGCACCAGTTTTTTTAGGAATAGGTATAAATGTCGACCTTACCCAGTCCTGCGGTATGTTTCCGGTATTGTATACAGAATTGAAAAGGTTTACCACCTCTATGGGTTTACCAATAACTTTAAATTGTCTCCGTTTATTAGTTTTATCAATTCTGGGTAGATGTTGTCCGGTCCAGCTGCTTTCCCGTTTTTGGTGTTCTTTAAAGCTCTCTCGATTTCTGAGATCATTATATCTGGACCATTTTCAGTTTCTATTTAGGAGTGAAAAGAGGGACCACCGTCATCGAACAGTTCCCTTATGTAATTGGTCCATACCTCCTCTAGTCTTTGTTCGGTTAGGATTGGTTTATTCTCACCGTCCACGATTCTGGTACATGTCCGAGGTTTGTGTTTCCCAGTGACTTCTTTGACTTTTTTATGTAGGTTAAACAAGTCATGTTTTTGGTGGAGCTCCTCGACTTCGCGGAACCTCTCCGTCATCCACAGTTCTTTGGCTTCTTTGATTTTATTTCTGATAAGCCTGTGAGTGTCTCTATATTTCTGAGGGTCTGTGCCTTTAAAACTTCGCCGCTTTTCCACGAGGTCTAAAATTTCTTGAGTCATCCACGCTTTATGGTGCTTCTCGTTATTATTTGTTGTTAGTTGTTCTTGTGTTTCCTGCAGCGCTTCTTTAATTGTCTTCCAGATGTTCTCTATGTTATTGTGGTCTTCCAGTCCAGGGGTTTGAGAGGCATTTGGCTGTTGGATCTTTCCTAGTTGCTCGTTGAGTTTGTTGGACACGTCTTGTCGTTGTGCCTCACTTCTCAGTAAACTCATGTTGGGTTTTTTAGTGAACTTCCGAACAATTTTTTTCAGCCTCATTCGGATTCGTGCTACAACGGGATTATGATCTGACCCAACATCCACTCCTGGGTAAGTCTTTGCACTAAGAACTCCATTTCTGTATCGTTTTGGAGCTAATATATAATCAATTTGGTTACATATTGGATTTTGCTTTGAATCTTGTGGCGATTTCCACGTATAGAGCCGCCTTGCAGGTAATTCAAACCACGTATTGCAGATAAAGAAGTTCTCTTCCTGACAGAATTGGATTAAGGTGTCGCCTCTTTCGTTTCTTTCGCCTGTTCCATAGTCGCCAACGACATCCTCGCTTTTCCCTTTGCCGACTTTGGCGTTAAAATCTCCTAATATAAAGGTAATTTCATTTTTTTCTGGTGTAAGATAGCAGTTGTTTTACTTCAGCACACCAAGATTTAATTTCCTCTTCCGGTTTGTCGGCAGTTGGAGCGTACACCTGGAAAATATTTAAATTCTTTGGTGTGGCCTTAAGTTGTATCATCATAGCCCTAGGAATAGGAATAGCGGACATAGGAATAAAGTTAAGGACCGAAGGACCAGTTCTCGCGTCCAAAAGAATTCCAACGCCGTTCGGGTGGCTAGCGCTGTCGTTTCCGAAGTAATACAGTGTTGAGTCGTCAACCTTTATTTGTCCAGTATTCGGCCATCTTGTTTCGCTTATTCCCAGTATATTTATATCCAGTCTGTTCATTTCCTGTCTTATGTTGTGAAGTTTTCCAGCCACATACATGGACCTGACATTCCATGTACCAGTCTTTACTGTCCTTGCACAGTTGGTTTTTAAATAGTTCGAGTTTTTCCACGAGGGGATTCTTAGCACCCCTTGACCATCTAAGGTCTGCCGCGGACTAGGGGCCATTGACTTTTGTTGCGTTGCCATGTTTTGTTTGTCTTGAGAAATCTCTAGAGATCTTTAATATGGTGGTTTCTCGTTGCCTTCCATATCCTTATGCCGTTGACTTCTTAAAGTTCATCCGCCTTTTGGGACGATTTCTCACCCCATGCCCTTCCACACTCCGCTCTTCCGCCCTTTGAGAAAAGACCGTTGGCAGAGTGAGTGCGATCGCTTATCCCGGCGATCACTCGGCATTTTGAAATGTCACCATATCTGGCTACCCTCACTTGGTTTAGTCTGTGGGTCAACACAGTGTACCGGGGTGTGGCGCTTGGAGCCAGCAAGTGAGAGTTGGGTTTCTCGTGAGGACCAGTTATCTGGGACCTCCGCCCGCCTATGGCACTTGGAGTGACCGTACCAGACAAAAGGTACTACCTCTCCAACACACCCCTACACCCCATTGCTACCTACAGCAGATTTAAATAAAAATAATGATACGTATTTAAGATAATTGCAGAAAACTATTTTTTAAAAGTTTTAACATCCTAACATCGCAACCCATGTTTAGAGAAACTTTTTTTCATATTTTTTAATGAGGAATCATTGAGTACTTATTTAACACTTTGGCCAGTTAATGATATTAAAAAAAATTAAAGGTGATTTGGATTAACGCAAATTAATAAAATTGCATTTATCTCGTTTAGGAGATGGAAATCGACAAAATATCAAGAGACAATTTTTAATTGGCATTAAACATTCTACAAAATTTTGATAACAAAGAGAAAAAAAAATGTCAGTGGCGTGCATGTTTTTTTCAGAAAAACATTCCAGTGATAACCCATTATGCACGCCCCTGGTGAAGATTTCGACACTTTTTTAGCATTAAAATATGTCGCACTTATAGTAACTTTTGTCCTCAAAATTTCATTTGAATTACTAAAATAACTTGGAAGAAAATTATATTAAATCAAAAAAAAATGAACTTTAACCCCCTGTAACTGCTGGTGGGTTCATACAGCCAAATAAAATAAAATAAGAATAAAAATAAAATAAGAAAGTTGGTTATATGGGATACCGTACACGCGTTCATACAGCTAAATAAAATAACAAATAAAATAAGAATTGGTTATCTTTTAACTTCTTTATTTTATTTTATGTGAGAACGATTTTGCGCACGCTTAACCCTTAACTGGTCCGGCGTCGTCTGACAGACTACGCCAAATAATTAACTCAGTCTCATTAGTTACTGGGACCGCCCACACGATTGGCGTTCTAGCTAATCCTCCCCGTCTAGGTCAACAACTGATAGCCATATTTGTGCCCAAACTGGATTAGTTTTTTAGAAGTTCTGGAAGAAGTTACTGAAGTTGTACTCTCGCAGACGACGCCGGACCGTTTGTGTAAAATTTTATGTATGACAAATTTTTGTAAAATATAACCGGGTGTTCGAAAAGAGTGCGTTTAGGAGACTCTAGTTATGAGGAAACTCTATTAAAATTATTTGATGAGGACTGTGACAGTGACAATATGACAATCTGCCAGACAAATGCGTTTGACAATGTCAAATATTCCACGAGACATACGCTTTACAATTGGTAGAATACTTGCAATTCCTTTACAACCAGATGACGCCCATGGAAATATTTTTATCCTAGAGTTCTTATCCTAGTCATAGACAATGTTATGTCCTAGTTAATTATTTTTAATGCTTAGAATGTACAAATCCATTGTGTAAAACATGTTCAGGAAAACAATGAAATTTGCCTCATGCTGTAACTAAAAACTTTTTCTTTAACTCCAGCTTTATAACTTATTCTTTTTACATATAGTATTAAAAACTTATTTATATATTGCAATGACTGTTAGTAATTTGGTTTTATTTTTAGAGGTTAGTTAAAACCTATATTGTTTTTTTTTTCAAATTTATATGTATGTTTTTTTATTTTGTACTAGTAGTCCTATTAGGCGTAGTCCTACAGACTACGCCGGACCGTTTATGATACATATCTATTACCGGACCAGTTAAGGAAGAGTTAAGAGTTAATACTAACCTACAAATTTTTCAGTTTGCATTTAATTTATTTTATAAATTTACATAAATATAAATTTATAATATAGTATGCATCGAATAAATAAATATAGTAAATATTAATGATAAATAATAATAGTAAAATTCCTATAAACAATCATTAAAGTTAACTTTTATCCAGCTCCATCGTACTGCGCATGAGCAAATATATATTTCTTATTTTATTTTATTTGGCTGTATGAACCCACCATGCGAAACGAGGCAAAATCCCAGGGTTATTAAAAGGTAAGGTTGTCTCGTAACTTTTATTTGTATCAAATCATAGATAAAAGAAATAGAAAATAAAATGCAACCGACAAAGAGAGATAAATGGACAATACAATAAAGAAAACACACATCAAACAACTGAAAACTATTGGCGCCATACACTATAAACAATAAAGTACACAATGAATATCGATTCGGAAATGCACTGTCGGACTGTGGGCAGTTATTCCTATGACGTAGTAGATGACGTTTTCGATAATGGCGGATCGAGACAACCTTATCATTTAATAACTTTGGCAGAATCCGACCTATGTTGACATAACAAATAAATCTTTTTACGTGAGGAACCACCCCACGAGAGATGGCACATGTTTTTTGAAACACCCTGTAGAAAATATCTTTTAGTGCGCAAACATAGTGAGGCATCTCGATGCGATGCTCGCCAAGATGCTGGCCGCGCTGCTCGCCAGGATGGTAGCCGCGATGCATCCTACGCGCACTGTTTTAAAACGGCGACTAGGTGCGCGTAGGCATACTGAAATATTTACCATCGCCGTTTTATTAAGTACCAGTTTATGTAATAGTTGTTATTCATTAGTATAGGCTTGGTACATTTCAGTTGATTTCAACAAATTCCTACCGCAGCGAGTCAATAGCAAAAATCAGAAATTATCCCTATCTATTTCACGTCACCGTCATGTTGATCGCATAGAATAATATTGAAATCGTTGTTTTGTTATAATATATAAGTATTTTAGTTTTTTGCTAGTGCAGTTATTAAGACAAAAGAGAGATAAAATACCAATGACTAAAGAATCCAAGGACAAATAACACCCGAGAGCAAATTGTGACGATGACACCAAACAGTGCCGTGGCACATATTTTTCTTAACCTAGCTGTTTGAAGCAATATTTATATTTTTTGATAATTGTTTTGACTACGCCTATGGTGTATCATCCTAATTAATTACGAAAAAAACGTATTAAAATGTTAACAAAAGGTACAAAACTAGTATCGACGTATAACACATATCAGGTACATATAGATGTTAATTGACATTGAAGAATAATTATTATCGAATTCAATAAGAAAACGCTAAAAAGTTGGAGTGGACTGTTTATTTACCTATGAAACGTAACTCCTCGCTCTTTCTTATCGCTGCTGCTTTTACACTTGAAAGGTGAACAACTAATCACCATTGTAATAAAGTTTATACAAAGTTTACTACACACAAACTATTAAAAATCGCTAAAATTGTCGCTGGTGACCAAATGATGACTCATTGTTTGCCACCAAAACAAAAAAAAATCACAAATTCTGCTGCAGCCCGTATAGGGGCGTTACATGTCCTTATATTCTTTAATCATTGTAAAATACTCAGGTACGAGGTTTGTGTGATGTAACGCTGTTTCGGTTAGTAAAAAATAACTGAAAAAGAATTCGAACTAGGCGTCGTGCTGTGTTGTGACAATTTCAAATGTTAATAAAATTGCCGAAAAAATGTTAACGCATAAAGGAGAGCGCAATTGGGGCGTTGTTGGGTGCAATTACATTCAATAACTCAACTTTCCCGGATATTCAACTCTCCCGAAACAAAATTTTATAGCTTCATAGTTTCTCACACCGATTTGATCAAAAGCAAAAATGGTTTCAAGCAGTTCGACGAAACAAGTGAGTAAACAAAATGCTCGTTACATAATCAAAAAATTAAAAAGACATATGTATACTATGAGAGGATAAAATATAATTTGCAATATTAATGGTATACTTTTTTTAATCAACTAGTGATTAAAGTACGTGCTATAAATAAATAAAGTCCATAACTAATTTCGATTTTGAAAATAGCTACTGTCACTAGAAACTTGCCATGACAACATCAGCCCTCTTTGTTGCCATTTTATTGAAAAAATGCTCTTTATTCAAAATCTGAGCTAGATAGGTATGGGACACCCTAATATATGTAGTTTGAAAGAGCATTTGAATCTGTTTTGATTTATTTTAAAAAATAGGTTGTCGTATTTGAAATAACAAAGTTTTTATGTAAAATAAATATTTAAAATAAATCATCAATTTTTGGTACCCCTGTATAAATTTAAGGCAGCAATACAATTTTTCAGTAAAGTTTATTTCTCTGTCTTTAAACTCAGCACAAGAATTAATTCTGAAAAGTAATGTACAGGGTGTTGATAATCTATTCCATTGTAGCATGCATATTTAAATATCTTTAAATATCTCAAAAACAAAAGTTTGTAAACATGTTAATATATAATAACTCTTATAATACATGCCTTATTTTGTGTCCAAGGATCCAAATATGAAATAAAATACCGGGTGTTCCATAAGAAAAAATATAATTTTGATGTAAATCTTAGTTCTGACCTACCCTGTACATTTCAAAATATTTTTAAATTATGCACATGGTCTTCCCACATATGCCCATAAAATATTTTGTTTCTACATATTTCCGTTTTCGTATAATCAACCGAGGCGAATGAGTTGCGCCACCCCGTATATAGGTGTTTCATTTAAAAAAATATTCGCGATCCACTCAGACTTTTTTGAGCCACCCTTTAGAAGTTCAAATATTTTTCTCAAATACATCCTAATACATACTTTATGCCTGGACTGCAAAATTCATAAGTTTTTAATTATTAGAACTGCAGATGCCCGACGCACTATTGCCGGACCCTGTAGAATCAAGGTTATTACATTGTTGGTGATAAATTAAATATCAGTATTGTAAACATTTTATTCCACCCGACTCTAGTTCGACATATGCTCAACGAATTGTGATCCTAAACCGACCAATCAAATGTAAAGTTTCAGGCATCCGTGTCCGCTTCTCGCAAAAAACAAAAATTTTGTTTCCTAGGAATCATCACGCTGAACATCTAGGTGTGTGGCGAGGTGCGAGACTCCAGTATGTTTTGACACATAAATTTGTACGTTTGATTCAGCATCGCCGGATGGCGAGGTGAATGGCGCGCATCGCATCGAGATGAAATGCCCCGCACTATGTTTGTACGATAGTCGCGATGCATCCTACGCGCACTTACTCGCCGTTTTAAAACAGTGCGCGTAGGATGCATCGCGGCTACCATCCTGGCGAGCAGCGCGGCCAACATCTTGGCGAGCATCGCATCGAGATGCCTCACTATGTTTGTGCCCTTAGAAACTTATGACTTTTTTTTACAGTATTTTTTAGACTCTTGTTTTAGTTAATATTGAATATGTTTTTGCAGGTTAATATTAAAAATGTTTAAGCCTATGGTATTGGAACAGGGCCAAAGATTTACATTACGAGACGGTTCTCAAACGTTGGGTACGGGCGTGGTTACCAAAACTCTACCTATGCTAACAGACGAAGAACGAGACAGTCTTCTTGAGGGTAAGAAAGCCAGAGAAAAGAAAGCCGCAGCGGGAAAAAAGTAAAATAGGACAAATACCAATAAAATTAATTTACCTCTAAATAGATTTATGTTGAAATCGTTTTTTTTTTTATGAAAAATGACTTATTAAATTGGTCATGTTCGCTCCCAGTTCATTGTGTTACATTTTACTTGGTAAAAATATATGCAACCTGTTATTTATAATGATTTTTTTAATTGCTAATTTTTTAATTGTCTTTAATAAAGAGATATCAGTTTAAAATAGTTTTATTTAAATATTTTGAATATTTTTTCAATGTATCATACAAGTTAATCTTAAATTAAGTTTTTTTATTCATAAATGACTATAAAATATGGTTAAATGGTAACTACACCAAGGAACATTTGAGGAGCAGACTTACTAAATATATTTTGTGTATACAGGGTGTCCCAGGCTGAGCATTAGAAGTTTCTAGAGAACCACAATATCTAGATCGGAGACTTTTTGCACATCATTGTTTTACAACGAGATCTATCGATTAAAAATATTGACAGCAACTTTCTTATTTTAAATGGGCACCCCCATTTTTTATTATGTACAGGGTGGGTCAAATTCGACGCTTTTAAATGGAAACACCCTTTTCTATAGGAGATAGACAAAAACTAATATCGATGTCTGGAGCTCAATTTTTGTCAAAAACATGATGGTGAAAACCGCATATCGATATCTGTTACCATTTCGGAGTTACGGGGTGTTTTTCAAAAATATGCATTTCTAACAAATCGCTGTAACTTTTTTGCTATAGAAAATTTTGTATTTTTATGAAAACATTTCCAAAGCACCTTTTTACGTAGAATTTAATGGTTTAAGTATATATTTTTTTTTAAATTAATAATTTAAGAATTATCAACAGAAAATTTGATTTTTTATACGGGACACCCTGTATATTTTTAATTTATTGAAAAGAATTTAAAATTACCTTTCCAAAAATATAACACACTTGATATTTTGCTCGATTCCTCTTCGAGATATAGAGTATATAAAAATTCGCCCGCTTTAAATAAGTATAGGCTTTGAATGGCACCGGCTGTAATGCAAAAAAATCTAGTTGTGAGCATCAATTAAAACGAAAATAATATTTGCTATGAGAGACGCAGAATTCTATAACAATTTATAACATTTTAAAACAATTTTAACCAACATCAACACAGTTAAACTATATCTAATAACAATAAAAATAAATAGCAAACCAAGACTGATGAGATTTTGCTACAGGTGTTTGACTTATTGACAGTCTTATGTTATGGACAGACCGGGCAGTTTTTGAACATTTCTCGCGGAATTCATTAACTCAGTGGGAGTGAAAGATAACTCTCATAACTGCTAAGTATTTCTAATTGTCTAGATTATACGCAAGAATAAGGAACCTTTATTCTCCCGCAAATATATCCATAGGATTAGATCCATGGGCACTAAGTCAGGTGGCCTCGACGGCCAACGGCTGGTATCTTGGTTAGCTATTCAATTATTCTTGAAGTGAGTGAAAGATAACTCTCATAACTGCTAAGTATTTCTAATTGTCTAGATTATACGCAAGAATAGGGAACCTTTATTCTCCCGCAAATATATCCATAGGATTAGATCCATGGGCACTAAGTCAGGTGGCCTCGACGGCCAACGGCTGGGATCTTGGTTAGCTATTCAATTATTCTTGAAATTGGCTGCAAAAATTTGCTGATAACTTCAGCGTTCTGAGGTGGCGCCTCTTCTTGCTGGAAAAATATGTTTTCGAGTTCCATTAAGGGCATATCATCAATTAAGGGGTCCATAGCCTACTAGTTAAAAGTGGCGAACTTTTAAAAATTCTGTATTTCGAAGGGGAATATAACAAAATATCAAGCGTGCTATATTTTTGGTAAAGGTAATTTTAAATTATTTTCGGTTAATTAAAAATATACAGGGTGTATTTGGGACCAATTTGGAATCAATTTTTCTGTTGATAACTCTTAAATTATTAATTTTAAAAAAAATATACTTATACCATTAAATTCTACGTAAAAAGGTGCTTTGGAAATGTTTTCATGGAAATGCAAAATTTTCCGTAGCAAAAAAGTTACAGCGATTTGTTAAAAATGCACATTTTTGAATAACACCCGTAACTCCTAAACGGTAACAAATATTGATGTACGGTTTTCACCATCATATTTTTGATGAAAATTGAGCTCCAGACACCGATATTAGTTTTCGTCTATCTGCTATAGAAAAGGGTATTTCCATTTAAAAGCGTCGAATTTGACCCACCCTGTACATGTTTTTTTTTCTTAAATAGTGAGTAAAGGGGATGAAAGAAAATAACTTTGCTTGCTTCGTTTAAATAAATATATTAAAAATGTCTACAATTACATAATAATGAAATTGGGATAATACTAAACATGATGTTTTTCGCATGCAGTTGGAGTTTTCCTTACAGTTAGCCGACATTTTCGTCAGCTGATAATAGAGAAATGAATCAAAAACGCTATAACTACAAAATTAAGGTAACGTTATAATGAGTTAAAAACGTATCTAATAGTTTTAAACATTGATGATATATCACATTACAATTTTCTGTTTTTTTTTTCAAATTAAATACAGAGCATTAAGAGAGTACTTTTATTTTTTGATTTTATGTTCATGTTCCTTCGTATATCTTTCGAAATGATGAGACTATTTTGAAAAAAAAATATTTTAATAATAATAGGTATCTTTCAATTTAGCTAAATATTTACACTTTGCATATTATCATTTATAAATCTTAAATTTGTTAATAAACAAAAAATTATAGACAATTACCTATTAACGAATTTGAATAACAGAACAATAGCAGGAATCTCAACTTTATATACAGGGTATTTCATAACTTTCGTAGATCACAGTACACATTCTTGAAAGCGAAATAATAAACACTATTTCATAGGTGTGTTGATAATGAGGTGGTTCTTAAATTCCGTACTTTGTTACACCATTCTACAGTGTGTTCAATCTATCGCTAAAATAGTATCATTTTGTTTTGCCTCGTATAACAGACTAAAGTCAAATAATGTAGCTGCAAATCGCTTAGAGATCAACAAAATTGGACCACGGAACAAAATACTTTAAACTACATAAATAATAATTGCAATTAACTTAAATTTAATGCTGTTTTAAGAAAAATCCGGTCATTACAAAAGCTATAATGGTTTAACCATTAAAAAAGCATAAACATATAAAAAATATATAGGGACTTCTGTTTGAACATTATTAAAATATATTCCTATAATTTTTTGACGATAACTCGAGTTTTTATAAAATATATACAGGGTGTCAAAAATATAGTGTATCTAACTTTGGTGGGTGATTCTACAGATAAAAATAAAATAAAAAATTCTTATGAACATATGCCCTAAAATGCTTCCAAGTTATAGCCCTCGAAAGCTTCAATAAAAATAATATGTTTTGTTTATTTTTAAGAACAATGGTAAACCGTTTTTCTTGATACTCTTACACACATTTTAATGTCAAATCGAATGGCGATAGTGTACAGGGTGGACCGTTTTGGTTGTTTCTATACGGTATCTAGGAAACCGTGACAAATATTCAAATTTTGATACTGCAGTCTCGGGTTCTTTTTTTGAAAAAAATCATAATGGCTCAAACAGATCGTGCCTATCTTGATCGGTTTCGAAGCTACAGGGGGATTCTTAAATTTTGTACTTTTTGAAGATATTCGATAGTTTGTTTATTTCAACAACTACGCAAAAATGAATTAAACATTCTAAAGGCACTTTTCTGTGTAGAATGCAGTGTCGTAATCAGACTTTTTTCGAAAACAATATTTTTTAGATATTTAACTATATTTATGTTTTTTTTAAATACAACCTCCCTGTATATTTTTTAATTTCCTGATTCAGTTTGACATGGGCTTTTCGAAAATATATAACATTATATATTTATTTTCACTCTTAACTATAAAACTCCAATTTATTTAAAGATATTGACTTTCCTCATGGTAGGTTATACCGAGTATTAAAGGAAACAAGCGAATATCTATTTTCAAATTAATCCATGTATTAGCAATTAAATAAATTCGAACAATACGAAGCAAATAAAAAATAAGTATGACGGAAACAAAAGAACATATTTTAATACAAACTCAATAGGTTACTTCAATCGGGCTTCAAACACAAAGACTACATTAAATGTTCAAAGTGGTGCCCATTATTATCTGGACAGAGTAAATTGGCACCGTCTCTGCACGCCGCCGCTAACAGCATTTCGAATGTGTATGTTAGTTACACTTTGCAAAACCACGATAAAACTATCTTGTGACTCTTCTAATGTTCTATTTGCATTTCGATAAATTTCGTTTTTCAGAAAGTCCCAGAGAAAGAGTCCAAGGGAGTGATATCAGGTATCCTAGGTGGCTAGGATTAAACTATTTTCTAACCTTTTAAAAATGGCTGGGTTTGGTTGCTCGCGCTCAAAATACCGCTCAAAATATAAATCAGCTGTCATTTGCTTATGTTTGTTAGACTCAATATAACATATAATATTTCTCAAAATTTTCAAATTTACTCATTTTTTTATTATTAAAAATACACACACTTCATCTGTTGAAATGAAATGTCACACATCCATCAAAGGTATGTCCCGATCACCATGACAACCGTTTACTTTGTTAGTCGGCGCGGCCTACTACTAACTGGATATTTTAAGAAAAAATTGAAATGTTGAGGTTAATAGTGAAAATAAATATAGAGTGTTATATATTTTCGAGAAGCCCATGCCAAGCTGAATCAGGAAATTTAAAAATATACAGGGGGTTCTATTAAAAAAAAACAGAAGTATAGTTAATATCTAAAAAAAATATTTTTTTCAAAAAAAGTCTGACTACATCATTTCTGTGCATTCTGCACAGAAAAGTGCCTTTAGAATGTGTAATTCATTTTTGCGTAGTAGCTGAAATAAACAAACTATCGAGCATCTTCAAAAAGCACAAAATTTGAGAATCCCCCTGTAGCTTCGTAACCGATCAAGATAGCCACGATCCGTTTGCGGCATTGTGAATTTTTCAAAAAAAGAACCCGAGACTGCAGTATCAAAATTTGAATATTTCTTACGGTTTCCTAGATACCCTATAGAAACAACCAAAATGGTCCACCCTGTACAATTCCGTAACCGCCCTGAAAGGGTACTTTCCCTTATAGTACTACTGTTGGTACTTCTTTTATACTTATAGATACAGTAATTTCAACAAATTACAT